ATCTGAAATGAAATTAATACATACGCAAATTTATTTTTATTATTAATAATTTTAACAGGGGCACTTTGGACACAATATAACACTGTATATTGTAGTATAAAATAAGCTTCATTTTGGTGATTTCAGGGGTTAAAACATAATAAAACACCCTTACTTATTAGTGGTCCTTAAACGTTACAAGTCTTTTTGTGACATTTCAGATCTATTTTTGTAATTATTATTGCTGGTAGTCCTCATGCTTGACAGTTGAAAACAATGTGTGTTTCGTTTTAGGCAGTGAATATTGTTTTGTTTTTACCGTGTTGCGAAGCATTATTATTACAGAATAAAAATAACAGTGTTATTGTGAGCTTTATTAAGCTTGGATCTGTAAAAAGAGGCACTTCATCATCATTTTTTTTTCTTCTACAAAGGAGAGGCATTGTAAAACTCCACATGTACAGTGTTAGGTGTTGTTTTGGTTACAGTACTATCTGCTGTAGATGCTGATGAAGACATGGATGCTCTAGCTTGCTTTCAATTAGTTTTGTGTAGAGAGAAGCTTAAGTCTTTGTGTGTTCGAAGAAGAAAACAACTTCAAGATTGCCATGTTAGATTGAGTCTGACTGCTTCAATATGAATCGGACTTAAGTATTTGACTGGGGTTTTTTTATAGGATGCATGATATAGTTTGTATCTTATGGAAAAGCTTAGTCTCTGAGCGTACAACACAATCAACCATTCAGCTGTTCTAAGTAATATTCACTCTAAACCTCTTCCGCTCCTACGTAAATATTGGTGATGGTCTTTTCTGTGCCCACAAGCCTATACTCTAGGAATAGATATTCTTTATAAATTAAGAAATTAAGTACCTTTGTTAAAAAGCAAGGAGAAAAGAAGGTGGTAGTCCTACAACAAAAACTGACTGTAATAGCAAAGAGAAGGCTGTATCTATACTGTACACTGAAGAAAATTAATATGCATTGTGAAATTACAATTTTAAGCAGAAAGCAAAAATAAAAGCTAACTCTACATTTATGAACTATAAATATATACTGTAAGTAATGTAAAAAGTCTAATAGAAGTGATCGTCATAGTGCTTTTTTCAGATCCCACAAGATCGGTGTCCAGTCTAGATGCAATGGATAGTAGACTGACATTTAGGCATCTGAAATGTGTCTAAACATCTTCGTGCAGATTTTGACACTTTCACAAACTACACAATTTTGGCTAAACAAAGTCTCTTATTTTTTGTTGCTGTTGCTTTTCCTTTTTACATATGAACAAACACAGAGTAACAGTAATATCGGACATTAAAGCCTCATAGCACTCACTTCAACACAAGCGAGATGAGACAGCTTTAATATATGAAGCCTGATGCTAGGACCGGTGATGCTGTTGCCTCCATGCATGGTTAAAACGCATGGTTCGATACCGAAATGAGAAGAGAAGTCGGCGGTTTGCATGAAGCTATATGTACTTCATAACCTTCACGAGGCAATTATCCAACACTGTATTGCTTTCTCTGCCCTTCTCTTAAATATAAATCCCGTTGTGTAAAATAAACGCTAGAAATTGCAACAGCACCTTCACGAGCAATAGTGCATTTGGTCGCTTGAGTCAAACATGATTAAGGCTATCTGTAAAGACACAGCTGATGGCCAATATAAGCCCCCCCCCCCAAACAGATGTTATTTGAGCAATATACCTTATCTAGCAAACTATTTGGAAGTGATATTGATTTCTCTGCTCTCTGGTAGCGCTCATTAAGTGCTTTAATGTGTAGAAATGTGAATGTTTCTGCAGGCCTGACTCTTCTTTTAGAGACATATTTGTGTCCCTGGAGCACAAAAGCAGTCTTAAGTCGCTGGGGTATATTTGTAGCAATAGCCAACAATACATTGTATGGGTCAAAATTATCAATTTTTCTTTTATGCCAAAAATCCTTAGGACATTAAGTAAAGATCATGTTCCATGAAGATATTTTGTAAATTTCCTACCGTAAATATATCAAAACTTCATTTTTGATTATTAATATGCATTGCTAAGAACTTAATTTGGACAACTTTAAAGATTTTAAAGATTTTTTTGCACCCTCAGATTCCAGATTTTCAAATAGTTGTCTCTCAGCCAAATATTGTCCTATCCTAACAAACCATACATCAATGGAAAGCTTATTTATTCATATTTCAGATGACGTATAGATCTCAATTTCGAAAAATTGACCCTTATGACTGGTTTTGCGCTCCAGTGTCACATATATGTTCCAGTATAACGTTTCTGTGAATTGCTGCAGTTGAAATTCACATGGACGGTTCCTGAATCGGAAAAAATGACATTTATAACTCAAAAATAAACAGGATTATCTACTGGACTATATCAACTGCGACCACAACGATTCAAAACCGACAAAGCTATAACAGCGAGGCCCAATGTAACCAACGGAACATACTTCTTCTTCTCAGTTCGCTACTCAACAACACAACCGTCAAAATGGTACGCCAAGCTGAAATAAAACGCGAACAAACAAGTATGCTTGTCTAAGGCAGCACCTCAGACTGATACAACACAGCCTGTGGCCAAAATTTGCAGCATAATTGAGTTTGGTCTGAAAGCACTGGAGAACGATACAGAATCATCGTATTGGGTTAGGCCAGATCATATTATTCAGACTTAAAGCAAGGGCCTTAACAGCATGACGTTCCTCGTGCTATTTATTGTAGGGAATAAGGTTTAATGATTGTTCTTGAGAAAGTTACCAAATGTACTCCGAAGTATTGTCACTTTTGCCGTACCTGTACTGTATATTGCAAAGGAAGCCCTACAGTTCAGGCATCACAAATTGTACAGCACACACATAGAGACATACCAGAGGGATATACACACACACACAAACATGTTGCACACACATGCTCACACAAACACATACAGAAATGTGCTTGATCCCTAGACAGCACTAAAAAGCTTTGCACAAAGACCCTCTTGTAGAAACTAACTTGTTCTAAAACACATGTATCATATATTTAGGCATACACTACGATTCTTTTAATGTACTCCGAAGTATTGTCACTGTTGCCGTACCTGTACTGTATATTGCAAAGGAAGCCCTACAGTTCAGGCATCACAAATTGTATAGCACACACATAGAGACATACCAGAGGGATATACACACACACACAAACATGTTGCACACACATGCTCACACAAACACATACAGAAATGTGCTTGATCCCTAGACAGCACTAAAAAGCTTTGCACAAAGACCCTCTTGTAGAAACTAACTTGTTCTAAAACACATGTATCATATATTTAGGCATACACTACGATTCTTTTTTTGTGGTTTTATGGTTTTGATGTTTTTTTGTTTGTTTTGCTTTTTTTTTAGTTCGGTGTGAATGAGAAGAAAACCGAGCATTTGCTTTAATGAATTAACTGCATTGGGATAGTGTTGGGATGGGGATGAAAGTGGTGTAAGCGGTACATCATTAGGATCTTACCAGGGATACGCTCACAATGGTTTAAATATAAATAAAGGAGAAGAACAAAAATGCGTGCATAAAAAGCACAAAGTAAATACAATAGCAAGTGATGATAACAAAGCCAAGAAAAATGTAATCATCTAATCAAAAAAAAGGAACAAAGCTACTCAAACACAAGTGAACTATAGAACCAAATATTTGATAAAAAAAAAGATTATCTCTAAAAACTAGAACATCTCTGGTAACAGTAGTGCACTTATTGGTTTAAGCAGTGCAACATATATGCAAGAAAACAATGCAGTCCTCTTATCAAGCTTTTAAGAAAAGATATTTCCTTTATAAACAATGCAAAAAAAAAAATCATAGAATTTAATTTCTTAAGTAAAACAATTCGATGCTTAAGCACAGGATTTTGAAGTAAATGTGCAAAGTAGCACTGTTTTTCAAACCTACACCTTACGCGACCAAATTCCAAAAAGGAAAAGGTCTACATAAACTGTCATCGTTTTAACTACACTTCGAAGGTGTATCTTCTCAGATAAGTGAGCAAAGTTGTCAGATTGCAGTTGCACGGCAGATGAATCTTTTTATATCGGTGACAAAGCCAAATATGAACACAGCGCTTCTGAGTGACGTAACACCAAAAATACAACCTTTTCAACTCACTTCCGAAATGCACACACGATGTCTAGATATGGGTAAAATTGGGAATGTTTCTTATTGTTTGGAGAGTTGTCTCCCTGTGGTATATTAAAGAAGAACGACGTGTTGATTTTATTGTGGTTCAGTAGATGTTTTTTTTTTCTGTTGCCTTGTGTCCGTATATCCTTCGCCTGCTCTCTCGCCCCGTCTGTATATCCCATCAGGCAAAAAACAAGGACGGCTGTTTGAGCCACTAGGTGGCGCTTTAGGAACAGGAGTAGTGCATTTTAATCACCCCACCGGCTCAAACAACTCAGTCATAGTAGTCGCCGCTAACAGGGAATACATCACTTTTATGCATTTTGGAGGTTATTTCTGTCCAGTTCACTTTGATCTAATCTAGCCCATAGCTCCAAATAGCTTAACGTTTAATGAAATAATAATAATTAGAGAAACATCCACACATAGTGTTGGTAACAGTCTCAAAGTGAGCACGTGAGGAGCAGCAATTAACTTGGATCTCGGGCCTGTTTGCATACTAAAATCTGCCATTTTCCTTTTCCTTTTTTAAAAAATAAAAAAGAGAACCATGGAGCAAATGAAAAGATTAAATCAGTTTCTCGAAACTTTGTATCACACTTCGTCGTTTTGAAGCGGAAGAGGTCAACTAACAGTCGTCTTCTTAAGTGGCAGTGTATGCAAAACGAATTGGAAATTATTAACGGCATTCAAAGGTTTTGCTCGAATACTGTCATGTGCCCTCAATGTCATAATAATAAATAAAAACCCAGTGTCAAATCGGAACAACTCTCCTATTCTTACCACACGTAAAAAGGCAAACATGTGACCAACGTTATTTTAGAATCTAGAGCCAAATCTTTTTTTTTCTCTCATTTTTTATTTTTTTTTAATCTATACCACAGTAAGCTTGGACGCTTATAATGTCCAATACGGTCTACATGGGAAAAGATCTACAAGTATAAAAAAAATTCACTGCAATATTAATTTTTGTGCACACGCGCACGCTCACATGCACAAATACACATACGTACAAAATACCTCCACCATATATAAGTGTGTACAAGTAGTTTGTGCGTGTGAGTGCATGCGTGTGTATTTGTGTTCGTGTGTATGTGTGCGCGCATGTTAATTTTTTCTTTTCTTGTGTGTTCTTTCGCAGGCCTTTCGGTAGTGTTCAACACATAAATCAGTATTTAAGGAAAGCATACATTTAGAGGCCAGTAGTATGGATCCAGCCAGTGGATCATCATCCAACTACACAGCCTTAAGGCCACCATCTTTTTTATTCTTTAAGAATAGCAAGGACAAAAGAAAAAAAGAAAGAAAAGAAATTAAACGCTTCTTTTTTTTTCTAGAAAACTTAATGTGCCAGTGTCATGCCCCAATATAAGAAAAAAAAAAATCTAGTGCCGTTTTCTGTATCATTTAATTCTCTTTCATGTTTTTTTAATTTGTACTTATCCGTCGGAGACATGCTTGCGCATGTGGTCATTGAAGTGCTCGATTTGGTCAAACTTGACAGGGCACACGGAGCACATGTAGGTGGTCCCCTCCTGGCAGCTTGCTTCCGCAGCGACGCTCACTCCGGTGCTTCCGACTCCGCCCCCAGCTCCGCCCCCAACCCCGACTCCGCCCCCGGCTCCGCCTGCTCCCGCCAGCATGGCAAGAGCCACCACTCCTGCTCCCGGCTCGGGAACAGCCATCGGAACCGGGATGGACACGGGGCCTCCGGTGCTCCCTGCAGCACTGACCCCGGAGACCCCGGTGTTGTGCAGGGCCATGTGGCGCTCCAGCAGGGTCTTGTGGGAGAACTTCTTCTTGCAGACGTAGCACTCGTAGGACTTCTCTCCACGGTGCAGGCGCATGTGGACGTTGAGCGAGCTCTTCTGGGTGAAGCGTTTGTTGCAGATGCTGCACTGGTACGCTCGGATGCCTGTGTGTGTAACCATGTGTTTGATGAGATAATCCTTCAGCGAGAACGAACGCCAGCAGATACTGCACTGGTGTGGCTTTTCACCTGAAAGAGCACAGAGCACAAACTCATGAGGAAGGAACATTTCACCAAAGCCTCTTCCATAAACCACTGTCCTATCACATGATCATTTTGATCATGCAATCGTAGATCCAGACAGGTTCTTCTTCTCCTTTTTGTGGCTGCATGGTGAAAAGTTACCATATTTTGCATGCAGGTAATTATGAAATGGACTATAGTTGCAATGCAACAGCTACAGACCTGAATTCTGACACATATATGTTCCTCTTTATTAAGAACAAATATGTGTCCCTGGAGCACAAAAGCAGTCTTAAGTCGCTGGGGTATATTTGTAGCAATAGCCAACAATACATTGTATGGGTCAAAATTATACATTTTTCTTTTATGCCAAAAATCATTAGGATATTAAGTAAAGATCATGTTCCATGAAGATATTTTGTAAATTTCCTACCGTAAATATATCAAAACTTAATTTTTGATTAGTAATATGCATTGCTAAGAACTTCATTTGGACAACTTTAAAGATGATTTTCTCAATATTTAGATTTTTTTGCACCCTCAGATTCCAGATTTTCAAATAGCTTTATCTCAGCCAAATATTGTCCTATCCTAACAAATTTCAATAAATAAAAAAAAATTGAGCCACGCTTATGACTGGTTTTGTGTTCCAGGGTCACATATGCCTCTTGATCGCATAATGTCTATGTTTTGGTTTTTGATATCACCTTTCAAAAAATACAAAATTTGACATGCGATTTTCTGTGCATATCATTCTAAATTGTAAAATAATAATAATAATAACAGTAATAATAAAAGACAGATTTTAAAAAGATTGTTCCTGTAATTCTTGCTTTCAACTGTAACTTTTGCTGGAAAAGTTGAACTTTGCATGCAGGTTACTAACTACTTGCTAAATGTATTAATTTTAATTATGGAATTAATTAGTGCTGTGGTTGCCTAGCAACAGTAATGTAAAACTGTGAAATCTAAAAAGTCCAGCACAGCCAACACGCTTAAGCTACACTGAAATTCCATAGACGTTCCTCTTCTCATCCAAAACACATCAGATTTAAAAAAAAAAAAAAGCTAAAGTTACATTAAAGGTTTGTAGTAAATTATCATTATTACAATCAGGAATGATATGTAAAGCTTGTCAGGCAGTAATTTCTACTGAAAATTGATTTGATTTGATACATAGAATTAATTAGAAATAACTGCAGCTGTTTTATTCTGTGTGAGGTCTGCAGGAACTGGTGCAAGTCTGTACCATACATTTACAGAGCATACAAAAGACGTTAGTGGAAAACAAGAAAAGTCCATTTAAAAAAATTAGTAGAAAAAAAAAGAGAGAACTATGGTAGAAAAGTACAAATCACAAGAAAGTAAATGTATTTTGGTGTAAAAGTTCCTTTTTGAAATGAGCAAATCCTGTGCCAATTTCACCAAAAATATGTTATCTCAGTAAATTGTACATATAAAGTGAAATATAATCTTGTGAAACATATTGGAAACTCTGCAATATAAATCATTCCATTCGAAGGCCATACCTGGCCAGTTATTTACATATTTATGTTTTTGGCAGCTTCAATCTTCTAGGTCATAGGCAATAACATCTGCTGTTATTGTCAAATATCTTTTGTCATATTCTGCATGATAAAAGCTCCTGTGACTCAATTATGGCAGCATGTGTGAAGACATACCAAGCATCAAAGTCCGATTGTTTTAATAAACATATAAGAATACACAGACTTGGTTTTGGCCTGAAGACAGATCATCATTGCATAGTAATCTACTTCAGGAGATCACAGAGTCAAATTTAATTATCTTACTAAACTTAACGTTGCCATAGTTGAATGCTCTTTTGAAGGCAGGATATATTTACTGTGCACTTCAAGGGTTCAGAATATGCCCTGCTAATAAATAGTTTGTCAGTCTCCTGAAGACAAAAACAGTAAGAGTTACTACTGTAGAATCTCATTTAGGCTTCTAACAAGTGGACATGCCAAAGCCAGGTTGCTCAAGGATGTGCTTAAAAAGTTGGTTTAGTTAAAAAGCACCTTCCTAAAATGTCAATGATTCAGTGGCATGTCAAAAAAAAAATAAATAGTGCAGACTTTTATATAAAACAAGTTCACACCTGCTTATATGCATTGACAAAGCTGGAACTAGCATGCATTCGGCAAACAGCTTGAGTACATTCAGTGCACAGATAAGCCTAAAGGAAAGGTTTAGTTGCTTTCGTATCTCAAAGCCCAATAACTGAAGAATCATATCGATAATTTTGAGGTCCTGATGGATACTTGTCACACTGTTGAAATGGACTGGGTTGCTTATAATATAATACCTAATCCACAGAGGACAGCCAACAAGGATAATTCACAATAAGTGCTGTCAAACGATTAATCGTGATTAACTGCATCCAAAAAAAAAAGTTTTTGTTTACATAATATATGTGTGTGCGTACTGTGTATATTTATTATGTATATATAAATACACAAACATACATGTATTTATTTAAGAAAAATATGTTTTGTATATATAAAAAATATTAATATTTATATATAATATAAATGATATTTGAATATATTTATATACAAGTAAACATTTTTAAAATATATACATGTGTGTTTGTGCATTTATATACACTACCGGTCAAAAGTTTGGGATCAGAATGATTTTTAATGTTTTTTACAGGAGTCTCTTCTGCTCATCAAGGCTGCATTTATTTGATCAAAAATACAGGAAAAAATGTAACATTACAAGTCTAACTGATCCCAAACTTTTGAACGATAGTGTATACATAATAAATATACACAGTACACACACACACACATATTATGTAAACAAAAACTCTTATTTTGGACGCGATTAATCACGATTAATCGTTTGACAGCACTAAGTATTACCAATTATTCACCCTGAATCGAAAGTGTTTCAGACCAGCTTATGGATATAACTGGATACAACTTAAAGGGATAGTTCACCCAAAAATGAAAATGTGATGTTTATCTGCTTACCCCCAGGGCATCCAAGAACCATTGTAACTCTATCTACAATCTCAATTAGGAGTGTCAATGGTCCGTTTGAGAGATAGGTGGTGGTAATGCACTTATAAGTCTGCGATCCGCCGTAAAGCAAGAAGAAGAAGAAGACGCATCACACGCCGGCTGTCGAGGATGCGCTCAGGAGAGTTCAGACATTGCAGTGCATCAGAGGTAAAAAACTATATAAATACTGTTCAGTTTCTTGCACAGACAGATCGTTTTGTGTCTTTACACATCAGTGTATCGTCACGAGCCGCAGGGTTTAATTTGGTTTTGTTTGTGTATGTTTTTTTGACTCTCAAAGCCGTGATTCCCATCCACGTCCATTATAAGACTGACAGACTGCAACGGTTTGAGTTAAAAATCTTCGTTTGTGTTCTACTGAAGAAACAAAGTCACCTACATCTTGGATGCCCTGGGGGTAAGCAGATAAACATCAAATTTTCATTTTTGGGGGGAACTATCCCTTTAACTAGCTAACAATACGGAGATGAAGGCCAAGGGAACTCACCTGTGTGCACAAACATGTGTTTCACGAAGTTTTGTTTGGCAGTGAAGGTCTTTGAACAAAGAGTGCATGCGTAGGGCTTCTTCTCCCCATGCTGTCCCACGGCAGCATTACCTTGCTGTTGATTTCCAGCCGGTGGCACGGTCAGTCCGCTGGGGAACGGAGAGGGCACTGCCACAAATTGGGGCTGCTGACTTCCAATGGACTGGGGCAGGCTGAAGAGGAAAGGCTTGTTGTCGCTGGCTGACTGGGTTGCAAAGAGTGTAGGCAAGTACGTGTTGCCTGCGGTTCCCATTACCTGGGTGTTGCTGGTTAGGGTGAGGGGCATACGCAGGTTGCTGGTAAGTGGCTCACCTGGCCGCAGGTATTGCCCAGCAGGCATCGACTGGGGTGCTTGTGGCGGCTGATAGATTCCAAGCTCGCCACACTCTTGAGAAGGACCATTTCTATTCCCGTCTTCAACCGACTCTTGGGTCTGCTCGGGGGATGAATCGTTGACCTCGATCTGCACAGGGGTTCCCCGCTCACCTTGCTGGCCTTTGTTTGGACAGTTGTCTCGCGCGAACCCAGACAAGAAAGGCTGCTCGGCAGAATCCGTTTCCGTGCCGATGGAAGAGCTGACGCCGGAGTCGAAGCTCTCGCCTTTGGGCTCGCACTCCAGCTGTTCGCTGTCGTCACGGCAGTCCTCCAGCCCGTAGCAGGTGTACTCGTCCCCTTGCTCCTGCTTGATGTGAATATCACCCGTGTGGAGCCTCACGGGACGAGGCTGTTTACGGCAGTGTGTAGTCTCTGTCGTGACTAGGAAGCGCTCCATCTGTTGCGAGCGCTCGTGGATGCGTGTGATCCAGGCAGGGTCCTGCCCTCCCTCCTTCTGCTGTAATGGAAGGGGTGAGTCGTAGCCGGCTGTCACCACGGCGCTGGCATAGTGGGAGCGATTTCCACGGGTCCCGTTTTGCAGGCCCAACCCAGAGCAGCTGGAATACAGCGAGGAGTAAACACGGTCAAGGCTCTGGTGAGATGTTTGCATGTAGCCTGATTCGGCATCACTACTAGGACCGGAGGTGCCAGACTCAGGAGTTCCCCGAGGCGTCTCCTGCCCCGAGTCGCCTGGGACGACGGAAAAGCTGCCAGATCCAGCGAAGCCAACATTCTGCGAAACAATGCGGGTGCACTCGTCGATAACGGTCTTGATCTGTAGTATGCTGGCAGCTGTGAGGATCTGTAGCGCCTCGGACTGGGAGACCCGCAGCACGCCGCTGTACATGAAGTCAATCAGTTTCTGGACGGACTGCACAGAAACCACAGAGGGGATCTCGATGTCACTGTAGCCCAGGAGCAGCTTGTCCTGAAAGAAGGGGCTGCCTGCAGCCAGCACACAGCGGTGAGCTCGCAGCATGCTACCGTGGATCCGAACCGTCACGTCACAGAAGTGCCCGCGGTTTCGCTGCTCATTGAGGGTCTCAAGTACAGAATTGCTAAAGTTGTGGAGATTAATGTGGTGAATGCGTTCGGTCATCCCCTTGCACCTGATGTCACCTGAGACACAAACACAAACAGAAAAAGTCATGCACATGATTTATGCATTTTCTGAAACATTTCAGTATAATGTCGACCATAAATAAAAGCTTTTAACAAATACTGTAAGCTTCACTTGCTACACATTCTCACTCTCAACTCGTCACATACTAACGCTTGGTCACGGCCCTCTGGCGTCACTTTTTAACGCACAGCGACATGCAGGGCACTCCGTTGCTTTGCATAAGAAACACTTTGCGTCAACATGCAGATGGGAAGGGTATGGGAATATTATCGGCATGATTAATTTATATATTGGGTAATAATTTTGCCACTATTACATGTATGTTGGGGTGTGATTTTTCAAGAGTTTTATTTACATTACATTACACTATTTACACATTTTTGAGCATGTAACAGTACTCCTACCCCTAAACCTAAACATTTGTCATTATAAAACACAGGATATAAAAGGCAGAAGAAGCGTTACGTCAGCTTTGGTTGTGAAATGCCATTGGCTCTTGTGTGTCTCGTGACCGACTGCATCATGCTAAAGTTCTGGAGTATCTTTTGACTGAACTATGACCCTGTTAGCGGACCATGTTATCATTTTCAGCGATTAAAACCTTAAGTTTTACTCTGTTATTAATATAAAGATATGGTATAGCTTCAGAAGACTCGGAATGCAACAGAGTTTGTTTGTAATATATTTATACTGCTTTTGGGGTCAGTTTTTGAAATAAATACATGTGGCTGTTACGTATTTTATATTGATGAGAAGTGAATGGGTTAAGGATAGGGGTGAGGTTATGGCGCTTTTCCACTGCATGGTACGGCACGGTATGGCTCGGTATGGTTCACTTTTGGGGGGTTTTCTACTGGGTACAGTACCTGGTACCTGGTACTTTTTTTTGTACCACCTCGGTTGAGGTTCCAAGTGAACCGTACTGTTACCAAAATGTGACGTGTAAACTCTGCTGATCACTGATTGGCCGGAGAGAATCGTCACTACCTGCGTCACTGAACTTGCGACACAAACACAACAGAACCGCTAGATTTAAATCAGCACAGCCAGCGAAGGATCGAACGCAACTGTTTTGAACCAAAAACCAAAAAGTGGCTGTTTCGTTGTCTGTTGAGGAAGAACAGACGTTCCTCTCGTTGATAGCAGAGGAGCGGATCCAGCGAGAGCTTGATGGGGCGACGCGGAATGAAAATGTTTTTCAGGACAGGAGTCGCGACAGTAAAGGCGGCACAACTATAACGACATGTGAATAATCCCGCCCATTCTAAAGCGATACTAACCTACAGTGGAAACGCAAAATGAGCCGAGCCGAGTCATACCACGCAGTGGAAAAGCGCCATTAGGTGCTCCAAAAAATATATAAACGTATAAATGTATATAAAATTATTTCTATTTTCACAAATGCATGCAAAGAATTAAATGTTGCTTTTTAACATTCCTTGATCGCATCAGTATATACATTCCCTATATTTTTCTTCAAGTATGTTAATTCACTAGGATTTAAAACCAGTGTTGGGGGTAACACATTACAAGTAACGCGAGTTACGTAATCAGATTACTGTTTTCAAGTAACTAGAAAAGTAACACATTACTTTTTAATTTACAAGAGAATATCTGAGTTACTTTTTCAAATAAGTAACGCAAGTTACTTTTTTCCCCCCAATTTATTGATTGACAGCTCTCCTGTCCCCATGTTGAGAGAAATCAGAAAATGTTACTGTAGTTCTAAAATAAATATGAATATGCATTATCTCACTAACAAAAAAATAACACAGATTCAGTATTCCTCAAAATGAATACAAATAATGCAACTCAGAATATGATGCAAACCTGCAATAATTAAATGTTAAACAACACAAATATCCTTTATGTATTTAATCCCATTCTATTAACCAATGTCTTTGCTTCTGACCTTTTGACATTTGTGTGTCTTTTTTTTTATTGCTGAAGTGTGTTGCTGAAGCATTCTACTGTACGGACGTAAATTTACTTTCCCTTCAGCCTGAGGCTTATTCATTTTTCACTTTTGGTGTGAAAAGGCTTTTATATTTGCAGAAAATATAACTTTTTTATTTTAAAAACAAACAAGCAAGCCCTGTCCAGATTTAAAAAGTAACGCAAAAGTAACGTAACGCATTACTTTCCATAAAAAATAACTAAGTAACGTAATTAGTTACTTTTTTATGGAGTAACGCAATATTGTAATGCATTACTTTTAAAAGTAACTTTCCCCAACACTGTTCAAAACATACCATCAGAAAATCGATTTAATATAATGATTTAAGAAAACACAAAGCCATAGAAATACTAGATTGCATAATAGATATGATATAATAGACAACAGAAAGAGTTGCCACAAATATATGAGAATTATAATATTTTCTTCCTCAAAAATCAAGAAGTGTAGGCTGTTAAATATGTAGATAATAGATTGCCACTGCTTTAGGCATGCACATTAATTACCTTGTGTGTTTATAGGCTGAGTATGACCAATAAATAAACCATAGATAGCCACAGGCATATGCTTCAGTCTTGCATTATCTTATGGAATGTGTTCAATGACATTTTCTTTAGAATGCGTGTTCATTTTCTGTCTCCCCCTTATGGACTAAATGGTCACGGGATGTTGTTTGCCAGAATGTAGCCAACAGCAGAGTATCACTGTGACATTCTGAGAATAGACTGTGTCCTGCTAAAGTGTTTCAGAAATTGTAAGAATGTATTTAACTGTACACCCCTGTAATATATACCATCCTGCAGCAATAGTAAGAGAAGTGCGGTAGTTTATTTACATGTGATTACTTAATGTTTTGATTACTTTTTTTGTGGGAGCTAAACTCTGCAGGTTCTGGAACAGGAATGGAAACCTCTTATACAGCATAGTATACGTTTTGGGTAATAATATACAATACCCAGAAGTGTTTGTCAAAATGAGCAGTAACAAAGCTAACCACATACAATTATTCATCTCACACATATGGATTTCTAACGCAACATTTTCAAGATTAAGTAACTGGACACCACTTGCTAATGCAATCATCTGACTAATATAGCGAGGTCATGTGATGACCAAGTACAGTAGCATACTACTGTTCAAAACATTTATTGAGGAATAATGTGTACTGTTTCACCTACTCTGTTTAAAAATCAGTATAGAGTGTATAGTGTGCAGTACTCAGTAAGTAGTAAGCTAGTATTCTATTCCAAACATTCCAAAAAACACTGCCAGAATACTGTATCCTCCATCAGGAAGAATTAAATGGAAGTAACAAAAACGGTAATATTTAACCGTGATCTCCCCATCTTGAGTCTATTTCATCAGACAGACAAAACTGACATCAATCTGGCACAGCCTACTACTCTCTGTAATAGCTGCATAATATATACTTTCACATACTCTTTTTTTAAAAACAGTAGGCCACTTACTGTATCTAGTAAGCCAATAATGTCTTTACTGTCTACTACAGCCAGTCCGCTCCACAACCGCCAAAACATTTACTTTATGGGTAATATGTTTACTGTCTGTCTCTATATTCTGTAACTATATATAACTCTAACTATATGAGGCATCGATTTAGAACGGAGCACGTAATGGTCTTCACTGTGTCTTTATGGATTTGAAGAGCAGACATCTCTTGTTTAAAATGTTTAAAAGAATCTAGAGAACCGTAATTATATTATATATACACTCTAAAAAATGCTAGGTTGTTTCAACCCAATTTTTGGTCAAATATGGACTAACCCAACTGTTGGGTTACGTTTTGGTTACATTTTTAAATTAACTTTTTAAATTGGGTTGGGTTGAAACAACACGGCATTTTTTAGAGTTTTCACACACACACACACACACACACACACACACACACACACACACACACACACACACACACACACACACACACATAACCCTCTAACTCTAATGCATAAAGTTACAATTTAAGGTTACACTTTATTTGAAGGTGTCCTTGTTACAGTGTAATTATACAGTATATTTAAGTACTGACTAATATTAATTAACTACATGTACTTACTATATGGTTAGGATTAGGGTTTGGCTTAGGGTTACTTGCATGTAATTATGCATAATTACATGCAAGTAACCCTAAGCCAAACCCTAATCCTAACCATATAGTAAGTACATGTAACATGTGTAACAAGGACACCTTAAAATAAAGTGTTCCCCAATTCAAATATACTGTTACACTGCAAACCCATTTAAAGGAAGTAATGAATGCAAATGAAAGCAAGTGGTGCCTGCTTAATGCATTTAATACACACCATGCCCTACATAATATACATTATAATCTAAAATGTTGAAAAAGGTAATGTCCATGTTATTTTTCAACTATCCGTATATTTAAGGTTTAAAAACAGAAAAGAAGAATTTTAGGATTGAAAACACTTAAGATCAGCATTTACACTTACAATATCTAGATCTATATAAATCTAGTTCAGGGCACCGTACATTAGATATACAGCTACACTTTTTTTATTTTATTTATTTTTTTACATGTCATGAGATGATATTAAATTATAAATATGTACTGTAGCTTAATAGTAACAATCTTGCAAAACACACTGAATAATCAATGTCGCTTTTTATAACTTAACAGCTTCATTCAGTAAATCCTACCAAACAGCATTAAACTATCACAAATTAGCACACTGGAGAAATTATTTATGAAAAGTGGAGAGGCTAATGGAGAAGCAGTGACCTAAAAAAGCATTTGTTTTCACAGACAGAGGGCAGTCTTGAGCTAGCCAGCACTAGTCCGCATATGCAGCACGTGTTTCGCTTTTGTGTTACATATGAAATCAAAAAATGAGTGAATCAAATCAATAAAGCCAAGATGGGTCCATGGGAGCATGATTCATGCAATGAGTCATTTTCAGACCTCTCTGAAGCTCACACGCATGCTGGTCTGCATCTGAAAGAACGTGACAGTCTATACAAAGAGTTTTGGAGAGACACAAAATGTCTACTTTCTGTGAGGTGCTACACCCTTTTTCAACAGAAGGCTTTGGGACTCTTAAAAATGCCCAGAAGAGTTTTAACACGGTTGAAAACGGTCGTGCAGAAACCCGTACACGCAAAGTTGAAAGCACACACTGTTTGCTGTCTCCCCTTTCCACGTGCATTCCTCTCTGAGCACTTCTCAGTTTTACGCATTGTCATGTTGCTATCACGTCTTACTCCCTCAGCTCATTTTAACAGCAAACTCAGAAATAGCGAGTGTTTGCTATTCCTAAGAAAGCATTAAAATGTCATTTCTTCACTCGTATGATTTCAAGAGCATTTAAATGTTAGTGCTGCGTAAAAGCATGTGAAAAGACGGGTTAGCACAGCAGGTCGTTCCTTTAGGATCCATAGCAAACAGCAGATTTCAAGATTCACCTCTGAGACTTAAAGCATGACACTGCAAGGATGATACGGCAGGGAAATATGCATCATTTTTGAAGGTTATAGAAGCATAGAGTTGTAGAAGAAAAAGAAGAAGAAACACCATGTGCTTGTCTGTGTCTAGACATGTTTCTGTAAAACTTTAAAACCTCTTAATGAAAAAACGAATGTGAAACTGTCTAGTTCTCATAAAGAGGTAAGTGGTACACAGCAAGACCCTGGTAATAAATAAAATAATATTATATAATATTTTTATTTCTAATGTCTGATTCCAATTTTTATATATATGATATATATGACCCTGGACCACAAAACCAGTCATAAGTGTAAATTTTTAGAAATTGGCCGAGATACAACTATTTGAAAATCTGGAATCTGAGGGTGCAAAAAAATCTAAATATTGAGAAAATCA